AAGTTATTACAATTAATTACAACTCCAATGCGATATATCTTCTTTTTCTCAACTTACTTGTCTGTCGTGCTGCATTTGTATTTAAAAATTAAAATCGCGACAACGAGTGTAGTGAGAATAGCGATGAAAAAGTTTATTAATTCAATGAGACATCCGACCGGCGAGTGCAGATTATTTTTCGGCATCTGAAATACCGTTCCATTTCCGGCTCGCCAGGACCAAACTATTTGTTCTGTGAACCGCGGTACATACAGAAACTTGTATTGTTTGCAGAAATCCATATCGATTATGCCTCTGATAATTTTCATCAGAATTCGGGGCTATTTAATTGTTTTGCGCATCTAGAAGAAAAAATTATGTTATTTGGATTAAATTAGTATCATTAAAAAATTGTGACAACTATTAATTACATTTTTGACGTGTGCGAATTAACAATTAATTATACACATAAAATAAATATCTCTATATCTAAAGATATATATATTTCTATAGAAAAAAAGTAGTACACATTTCAAATATTTATATAGATTTAATTGAATTACGCCAAAATATTTCTAGATCCGAATAAACGTTACCGTTCACGTCATTTTTAAAAATAATTTTTTTAATATTATTTTTTGTATTGATGTCGCAATAACACCTCTGACGAATTATATAAATTTATATTCCGTTCAAGAAATTCCGCGCACCAAGTAACTTATTTTCGTCGAGCTCTTTGTGTCTTCTAAAAATATATCGAAATGTTGAATAACTTTGAACATTCGATAACGAGAGAGCATATGTGCTAATAATTACACAAAACTTTATTATTCATGCGTAACAATTCAGGAAGGTCAAGGACGAAGTCGATAAAATAGCAAAATTAAAGAAAATCTTAAATGAGGTACGCGGGAAAATTGTATTCTAACATCTCGTGAAATCCAAGAAAGAGAATTATAAGACACAAATATATATAAATATACTATTATTTACTATAAATAAAATATTTTTTACTGAAGACATAAAATTAAGCTTAATTACTTGAATTAATAAATTAAAATTGGATTAATTAAAAATTAATCGAGATGTTAGGATATGTGTTACTTATATGTTAAACAAATTCTCTTAATCCTAATATTATCTTCATATTAAATATATTCATATTAAATATTGAGGATTATTCTTCGTAATAACAATCACATTAATTGTTTTATCATTTGACAATTAAAAATAAATTAAATAAGATAAATTAAATAGTTACCTCTTAATTTTTATTCTAATTATTAGCAAGATGTACTTATTATAATAAATATTCTCGATTCGTTTTGAATCTATTCTATTAAAATATAAAATATAAAATACAAAGTGTTATAAATTATGCGGAAATAAAAAATAAACGTATTAATTTTTAACATAAGAGTTCTCAAATTTTTTCGATATGTATGATTTTTCAATATTTAGTAGATTTATTTGACAACATCAAATACTCTACCTGTTGACTAGATCGACATTCTTTTAACTTATCTTCTGATTTGTTTGATAAATTGTAATTGAAACTGGCAAGTTAATTATTTTCGCTATTTCAATTAACATTAATATGCGCGATTCACAGTCACAACGCTTTCACTTTTTCAAATAAATACAGGAAATTGAAACACTTGACTTCCGTTTGACACTTTCGGTTGTGCATGCCGCATGCGGCATTGACGAGAGACAGAGGAGTCACACGCGTTCTTTCCAATGGTTCGCGGTCTACTGAGATGAGATCTGAACAGAATGCCAATGGTAATTCCACGTGTATGCTGAATCACTGATGAAAGAGAAAATCCCCTGTGGATGTGGCAAAAATATTGAAACTTGTATGATTTTGAATTAAAATATTGATACATAACGCAAAACTGACTGCCATTTGCATTAAATGTGATTTTTCTCTTAAATAACACCTTAAGTTCTTTCTTTGTATTTTTCATTCAGAATTTAGAAATTTGGTTCTACAAAAAATAGAAAGAAATACAAAGAATTCAAATGTTTCAATTATTATACGAAATATTAAAAATAAATATTTCTCTAAATATAATAAAACAATGTTATGTTTTTCGATATAAGACGGTATATAATGTATTAATATTAAAATAATTTTAATGGAGGTTAAATAGTTTAATAAAATTATATATTATATGTAATAAGTCCCTACATTGAGAAGATCGTCAGGCAATAAATGATTTATAAGAATTTAAATTCAACACAAAAACTATTATCTATTTAAGCGGTGTCACAATTTTTTTCTAAAACAAATAATATATGTTGAAATAATAAAATTTTCTCTCTCTCATAAATGTAAAATAAAAATATATTTAAAATAAAGTTATTATATACGTAAGTAAATTTAATTTTGTTCCCTAATGTAATAAAATTTATGCAAAAGAATGTGCGTTAACGATGGATTCTTTGATTTTTTTTTGTTTTAGAGTCAGAAATAGAATTTAGAAAAATATACTCTTTAGTCCTTGATTTTTTGCCGGAAAACAAATTAGACAGACGCGCATCTTTGTTGAACGTCTGACGTCTCAGGAGCCACATGGCATCTGTAATTGTATAACAAAATCAACCACAAGAATTGCATTGATCCTATTAATGGATCGATAGCTTTTCATAAATTACATTAGTCACAACTTAATTTTATCAGCGAAGAACTTCCCATTTACATCTTTTTTCGATGACCCTTTCATGTTTTGAACTTTTATCTTTATTCATTTTAATATATCTTACCGATACAAAATAATAATTCCTTTTATTAAACTAAAAAAATTAAATTAATATTAATTAATGAATAATTGAACAATACACGATCTTATCGGGTAAACATTTGAAATACGTTATAATAGCGTTTCGTTGAGCACTATTTTGAAACATGATTTGCTCTATTTGCTTATCTAATGGATAATTAATTATTGACTGTAATTTCCTGTCTCGAAGCTTGTAATAAATTACATTTCCCAGTAAACGCATCGGACGTGATAAGAATCATCACTCGCTTCTAATGCGTTTTTTAAAAAGTATATTATTCGCGAGTAATCAGTTTATTGCGTATATAATATACTATTTATATAATATTTCTTAAGAAAATGCGCGCGCATATTATTCGATTTAATTAATTTGTTATGCTGCAAAGTGTGTCATATTAATAAATTAAAAATTAATTTTTAACGTTTTTAAGGACGAATACAATCATTTGACAGAAATCATGACGAAGATTCAATAAGAATCAATAACTTCTTTTAAATCTTACACACTTGATACTTTTATATGAAAAGTTTTAGTTCTAATTTACAATGTGTCCTTTACTCCTTATTTCTTGCTTTTTATCTCATGCCTTTTTTCTTTTTTTTCCGACCGTTTTTCTAGATAATCATGCTTCTTCTCGATATTTTTATAGATATTTTTATATAAATATTTTTATAAGACACATTTAGTATTGATTTCACAGAACTAAAATTTTGTTTCCACTATAAAATCTAACAATAAGAATAAATGAATTGCTTACTACAGGAAACGCCTGCCTTTTGATTAAAAAGTTAAATTAATAAACACATTTCAGAAATTCATTGTCTTTTTAATGAACTTATATGGTGCACATGGACATGTATTTTAAATTATATACATGTATTATGGATTACTTAATTATTACACATACATTAAGTATTTTTGAAAGAAATAGACGATGATCAATTCAAATGTGAGTTATGACGACTACACTTGCTGTTATAATGTATGAGTGCAAATTTGCACAGAATAGACAATGATAATTTTAAATACTTTTTCATACCATTATAACACCTAATATAGTTGTCACACTCATTCACATTTGAATTAATCATCGTCTATTTCTTTGCAAAATTGTATTATCCAATCTACAGAAAGCCTCAGGGAGAGAGTGGCAAACTCTCTAATCCAACCGGATCGCATTTGAGCCATTTTCGATAATGTATTGTCCGTTACTACGAATTGCGTACGACTAACTGCCTATCACTTGAAGAAGCGTTTGCTGTTTCAAAAAAAATCATAGGAGATCAAATATTAGGGTCGAAGAAATGTAAATATTGATATATTTAATATATGTGTATTAAGTATATCATCTTATCTAACCGATAGATTATATAATTCTACAGTTTATTACATATTTAATAAAATTCTAAAACATATTATTAAATTACGCACAGAGAAGAAAAAATATTCTGAGAATGTTTTTTTTTTAAATATAAATTTTGTAATAAGATTATATAGTGTTAAATCAACATAACCTTACACGAAGAAATTTTATGTAGTTAAATAAAAAAAATATATTGCGTTTCAAATTCAATAATAATTTTTATGATTTGAGAGAAAACAAATATCAGATAAAGATAACAATATCTTCAATTCAAGAATTTTAGAATTTCTTTAAATTGAAATTAAATCATATAAATAATCATAAATTGTGTTTAATTGTACCGTAAAGCAAGTTGTTTATTTATTTAATTTTAGTTTTAATTTTATTTTTTTTATTTTTCCATAAAATTGATGTCGCCAGTGTATAGGAGCTTCCCGTAATCATAGGAACCTCCAAGCCGGAATAATGAGATCAAACTCAAGGTCTGAAAGTGAGCTCGAAATAGGGTATCGGAAAACCCATAAAATATCCGACAGATGTGATTTTAGTGCCATCGCTCCTTGCGGGAAAAGTTACAAATATTGACTCTCACGTGATCACACGTTGTATCTACATATACATACCACTATATAGATACATTATACGTGTGACACGTGACAGTTAATACTTGTAATTTTTCCCGCAAGGCGCGATGACACTAAAATCACATCTGTCAGATTTTCCATAAGTTTTCCTACACTATGTTTCGAGCCCACTTTTTTCGTGACAGGCCTTAAATTTGATCTCCTTCTTATTACTCCGTGTTCCAAGCCAATCCAAACGTCACGCGAAAAAAAGCTATGATCGTGATGATCAGTGGCGCTCTCGCGTTTCTGTTCGACTAGATTCACTTGTAGAGCTGCGTTCGGAAATATCACTTGAGTGCCTTTGTGTTTTATCCTTGTTGTTTACCCAATGTTAAATAAGGATAAAGTGATATACAGAAGCACCTGGGTGATATTTCCGAACGCAGCTTGTGTGAAGTGTGTTTTGAAACAAGAAGATGTAAATGTGTCATCCGTCGTCCCCTGTTCGTGCAGATGTAATGGATGTAACGGGTAATGTCGAGTAAAATGAAACGGTATGTCCCATTCGACGCAACTTTTTAGCGGGCTCATCCTTCTGTCTGTGATCGCGTTGTGCAATGGCGTGGACGCGTACGAGATTGACTGCAGTAACTTGCGAATGGGACAGTATATTTGTCCTCATCCTGATTATGATTTCATAGATCCAAAGACGCAGCAACCCCGCGGCTGCACCAAGGAAAACAAGGCCAAAGGTAGGAGCTTGACTTCGAGTGCTGAGATTGGGATTTCGATGTATCCCTAACCTCAATCTCACACATTCTGACATCTCTGACGTTCTGTTGCTATATTTTCTCATTTTTAACGTTGTAAAATAAGACAGATGCATATCTTCTTGCATTCTCAAGAGAGTTAAGCGATTTAGGCAATTGGAGCAATTATCTTCATATTTCTTTATTATACCTTGCGTTGCGCTGAACATTGCTTTTTATATTATTCAAAATATCATTTACTGTATTTAGAAGTAACAGTTTGATAACTATCTAGAATTACCTGGAATTTTTACAAAATTAAACTTGGATTTATATATTTTTAGTGCTATGTTTAGCTGCTGATGGCCTTATTTGTACAGAAACTAAGAATAACACTTTTAAGAAGGATATATCTTGCAAATGGACGTAAGTAATTGAGCTAACTTAGAGCCTCTTTTTATCAACTGTTTATTAACTGTCTCAACTTTTCATCTTTTTATAGTTTTAATAATTAGAAAAAGATCAAGAGTAAGTTATACCAAAATTAGAGTTAATTTACATTGAAAGAAATAAACTAAGCTGTAATAAATCTTCTGTTGATAGTATATCTGTTGAACTCATTCAGTTGTAAATTTTTTATTCAAAATGTCAATTTGTTATATCTGCAAATTGAATTATTCTTATTAAAGTATACTTAATATTCATTTTTTTTTACATATATGTTATTTTGCTTTCTTGAAATTAATCAGTGCCTTTTAATTAATTTAAGTGTGTTTTACAGAACAATTAACTATATTACAGAGTTTAGCGTCAGCTTCAAATGATTAACTTTTAACTGGAACATAATCCTGATAATCCTAGAAATAATTTAAAAAGTAGTATTTTTTGAAACAATTTTTCAATACGTATTTACATTTAGATTTAGAAGCAATATATAAATGCTATAATAGATATTTATATTTTTTTCAAATAGTCTTATATCATAGATTAAGAATAATTTGAATAAGATTGAATTTGAAAAATTATTAAAGAAATGAAACTGATAACAAAAAGTTAATAAATTCCTAGGTCAGGGACCTATCTTCCTTTAGTGTAAAATGTTTTTGTTACATTAAATATTTCAAATTTATACAGTTTGTGAACTTTCACAAGTTGAATTTTTATTTTCAGAAATGGATATTCATTTGAGACATCATTACTGCTATCGATATTTCTTGGTATGTTCGGCATAGATCGATTTTACCTTGGATATCCAGCTCTAGGTTTGCTCAAGTTGAGCACGTTGGGATTTCTTTTTCTTGGCCAGTTCGCCGATGTGATTCTGATAGCTACGCAAATCGTAGGACCGGCGGACGGTTCACACTACGTGATGCCATATTATGGTGCCGGAATTAACATCATAAGGAGCAACAATTTTACATACAGAGTACCACAATATGATTGCTGAGAGAAAATAGCATATTCAAAGCAAATTGTAAATGATGACTTTTCTATACACACACATACACACACACATGCGCGCGCGCGTGTGTGTGTGTATGTGTGTGTGATATGTGTATAATTGTATACTAACCTTTGCTTTCATCAAGCAACAGTTGCATTCGGAAATGTCACTCGAATGCCTCCGATGCCTCGGATTCATCATCTATTCTTGTTTAATATTTAAACATTTAATATTTAAAAAAAAATATATATAAAAAAATTAAACAAACAGATGATGAATTCGAGACATCGGAGGCATCCGAGCGACATTTCCAAACGCAGCCAACTATGTATAGATTTTAGAATGAAATCCTATGTCATATATCTATATATATATATTTCAATGTAATTTATTCTTTATATTCTATTCTATAAGATGAACTGTGAACGTTAACTTGTAGATATTTATCTTTCAATGAAAAATATTGTATATATAAAAATTTACTATTGATTTACTTATAGCTAGCTGATGATTAATTAATAAACTGTTGTTTTTATTTCTAAAGTTCTCTGTTATTTATTATGCTTTTCAGTTACGATCAGAGTTTCTCAGAATGCAAATATCATGATAATTATACTCTTGAATTCCGCAATTATGACTCAATCGGCCTTGAACGATTTATCACGAAACTGTAAGCTATACCTCTTAATGTCGATGCACGGACGTAACTCGATTCGTGCGATTTCGCATGTATTTCCAATCTCTCATTCCTCTGATATAAATGCGAAAATAAGAAGCGTTTATTATTATTACTTCCGTTAATCCTTATTTTCGTGCACAGAGCTCGGTAATGACGTTTTGCGCACGAATACTTGCATTCTCGGAAGTTCTAAGACAATGCCGACCGAAGATGTATCACGTTGCAATTTCGCATTATGTACACGTTAATCGGCACGTTTTCGATATGAAATGTATAAATCCACATATTTCTCTTCGTGACGAGTTCTTTAAAGTTCTTTAAAATTATTGTTTCATAAGAGTTGAAAAGACAGACGTGATTTATTAAATCGGGAGGACACATTATTGAGAGACGAGCCATTTCTCGCATTATGATTTCAACTAAGAAAATTCTACTTTTACCACTCGGAATTGTACTATTAATTGCGACAATATATCATTCAAACCATTCTGGGGTAAGCAATTTGATCATTACTTGATGCATATCTACAGATCTAATTTTTAAAAATAGGATAAAGCTAAATTACATTATGAGAAAAACTTGCAAATCTAAGAAATCAATGAAATATCGAAATATATTTTAAATGAAATAATAAATTACAAATATACCCAACAATAACAAAATGTCTGCAGCTTTCTAGCAAATTATCAGCAGATTCAAGCAGAAAATGACAATCTGCTATCAACTGCGTCCACATACTTGTGTTCTATTAATATTACTTGTCGATATAATGTGAAGATAAATTGTTGACAGAAACTGAGCAGATTCTGCCGACATTATCTGACGCTTGCAAATTCTGTTACGTTTTTTTCTAGCAGTCTATTAACAGTATTATGTACATCTAATTCTGTTGTTATTTTAAATTGGTATAGGGTGTAGCAGACATTTAAAAAAATCTACTTTTTACAAACTTGGCTATCTGGGTATATATGTAGTATTTTTTTCTTT